CGATGCAGCTAAGAGGATATTATGATCCCGGATTATTTTAGCCCACCCCCTCAAAAGAGAATAACACCTTTGGGAGGGACTTAGGTCATGCCCTGTACTGGGGGCCAAAACCGACAATAACATCGCCTCCTGACTCGTCCAATGCTGTCGGAATGAGGTGGACAACTTCCTGGGACAATTCCAGAAGTACCTTGGAAAGAAATATTAAAGCTGTTCCATCACCAATTAGCGAAAGGAGAAATATTAGGCTTTTTGCACCATGAAGTCTCAGGACGAAGGTTGCATCCACGGACCCGTGACGAAATATGAGTAATTGATTGCAGTAGCGTGTGAACCATCCCCAGTCCCACCATGCAAACGACCACGCCTCCTGAACAAATGAGAGTGATATCAAGGCTCTAATTACTCACGTCGGGGCCAGGAACCATGTCTCCACAAGTTGTCTTTAGTCATTGTTGAGACGGATTCTTTCCTCCCTCCTTCCATCCACAGTGTAACCGCGGCCAGCATATCATCCATGAACCTTCCAGCTGCGCCGCGGAACACTCGAGAAGATATAATTCTTGCTCTCCATTAAAGTCAGGCTCCGAATCGAGTAAGCAGCAAGGGGCGGCATTAGGAGCTGCCAAGATTTCTAGTATTCATTTTCGTACCGTGCTTCATGAGGGAAGAGCAAGCGTGGAGTTTTGGATGGTTAAAATCGGCTTGAAGGCAGGAGGGATTCTCTCATTTTGTCCACAGGCCCTCGTGTTGAACCACTTGGTTTATCACATCTTCGAACCCATGGCCAAACGAACGTAATAAATAACCAATGATCAAAGTTGCCAGCACTCTTGTCGCTTGTTTCCCAACAAATAGGGTCTTTTCTTCCAATACCAAAAGACACCAGACGAAACGAACACTCTAAGCATATTGAAGACAGGGCGATCAATACAAGCTGCCGCCATCTTTAATCCATGATCGCTGCTTTTTCCGCGCTTTTTCTTTTAGCCATGCAGGAAATGTCAAAAACTGTTCACGATAGCCCCTCAAGCGGGCCGCTCGAATCAAGCAAGAAATTTCGAGATACCCTGGGACTTTGCAGGGGCTGTCTCATGAACCTCCAGGTTGTCATCACGTGATTGTATTACCTCCCAAGAGAATCGAGTCTCCTATGCCAGGTGAGCCCCTAGGAGCGTCCACCATGTCAACAGTTTTGTCGCGGTGGCACTCGCGGTCGCACTTCGCCGATTGAAAAAAAGGTTACCAATCAGCACTCGGTCAAAATCTGCGCGTTGGTTCATGGCGTGACGTTGCTTTCTTTTTTTGTGCGTGCGTATTTGAAAATTTTCCGAACCGTAAGAATACATTCACCCCCAAAGACGGACTAAATTACAACCTCCAATTCTTCAGGGAACAACTCCCGAAGCCAGGGTTCTGCGGCTAGTCGCGCGGCAGATGCCTCTCACCACCAGCCTCGTCATCTTCCGGTACCTTGGAAGTTTGTGGCTTCGACTGGCTTGGCTCAATTTTGCTTTCGAATTACGACTTTCGGTCTAGCGTGCCTTGAACCTAGCATATTCCTGACACTTGCATCATAACTCAGGCCTCTGAATGGCTGCTGCGTCCCAGAGCTGCGGTTGAGGCTGGGAAGCCGCGCGACTGGGCACAGGGACCTCTGGCCAGTCACGCCTATGCCGCGTACATCGTTGATTTTTCCGGCTTCAATCAATTGCCTTTGACGGAAAACCGTTTTGCTGCTGCGTCACCCATTCGTTGGTTGAATACAACATTCTTGATCGTCCTGGATGTTCCTTGTAACCCCCACATGACACGCTCGATGATGACCGCCGCGATTTTCCTCGCAACTAGGTCAATACGGTAATTAGGGCCGAAAGGCTGCTGGGCAGGCTGCCACTGACAGGCTGTGAGCTTTCAGGGGTATTGGCCTCCAAGCGCCCGATTCTTGCCAACGCGCTTATTCAATGAAGTTAGCACTCAGTCTGTCTGTGACCCCCGTCGTTCAGAGGGAGGATCAGCAAGAATTGGCAGGGGATTATCACGAGAATCCGTCAGTTTATTGACTCCCTCCCTACCCTAGGTTCCCCCTCTCACAGTCATTTGACTTCGATGCGCCAGATTTGGTTGCTTTTTGCCGAACAGTTCGCAAACTTTTAGGGCCTAAATATTGACAACAAAATGAAAAGAAACTAAATAAAGAAAAAAAAACAAATAAAGATAATCTTGATCAATCATTGACGAGAGCTCTACTCCCTGGTGTCAATGAAAGAGATAGTCTTGCACCTGCCAAGCCCGACATTGGACAAAAGTTCGCCGCTAGAGGCGAGACTGATAAATTGGTCACAAAACTCCGAGTTAGCCAACCCATCTTTGGAGTATACCAAAAGCCAAATCACACCGTCTCGCGGCATCTCATAGGCTTGAGCCAGGGAGCAATGTAGATTTGCCCAACATCTCACAGTTTCACACACGGGCATCTATTCTCTTAACTTTAGCGGTGGACATTTCTCGGGGTCTCAAAATGCTACGAACCTTCGGGTTAGCTTCTTGTAAAGCGGGAGCGGGCAGGTACGGGCCTTGTGTTGAAGCTGACGAGCCTGTCTTTGCCAGTGTGAAGTCGAATAATTTTGGATGTTTTGCTTTTGGCTGGACAATAGACAGATTGGGGATCATGAATGGGGACACACTACCTCAGATCCTTGCGTTGTTGGGGTTTGTATTGCCCTGTAGATGTGAGAGGACCCTGTCCCTTCAAAACCGTTAACTATATTCTTTGAATCCCGATGGTGATTTGCTTTGAATTTTGCTTTTGCCCTCTTGCTTTTCAATACTTGGTCCGCCGAGGGTAGTATAGCACGATGCATTATGTATTACTTGCCGTGTCTTCCGCCAACATTTTATTTAATCTTAAAATCTCAAAGCTTTTCGCCCTGTCCCTTGGCATAGGTACAGATAGACCCCAGTAGTAGGCAGCTTAGGATGGGATAAGGTGATAGCAGAACGCCACAAAAGAACGGCGTTGTGACGTCCAGGACAAAGGAACTTGCAAACGAGAAAATAGGAGTCTCACCCGGTCCGGGTTTTGATGCCAGGTCGCAAGCAGTATTTTAATACGGCGGCTTTCATTCGACCTTTGCGAGCATGGCATTACCCTGTTGGCACAAGTTGATCTGTCAGCGGTGTATTTGTATTATTAATGAGTCCAGATCTCTCGTGCTATTTTTCCATTTCTCCCCTCTCTAGGCCTCTGCATCTACGGATATGATCCTATTAGTGTTCGCTCGGCTTTTAGGCGGGCATTAAACAAAGCTTCCGCAGCAAATCTTTGTTCTCTTCTTCCTTTATGCGTGATCACCCTAGCAAGCTGTGGGAGAGCACACGATAGATAACTCACGGTTTTGGTCCTGCCCATTTCTATCCATGCAAAGCTTCCCACCATCGCCGCATTCCATTTATATATGCGGCAGCTTTTAATCGCCTTGCTTTTCCATCCATGTGTTCTGTCGGAGTAAAGCCGTTATAGTAAGGCGTTCCTTCTCATTCTGTAGGCCGATATATAAAGCAATTAAGCAACCTTGCCCTATATACTTTCTAAGCTGCTTTGTCTGATCTGCGGTCATTTTGCAACAAGATACTTCCCTGGTCTACGCTGCGTACGTGTTCGAAGTGACGTCTTGTGAGCAACGATTTCCCTCTGCTTTTCGCCACAATTTTCGTGCAGGATGATAACCTCGCGAATTTGTAAATAGCTCGCCAAACCATTCATGAATAATGGGGCCTTCGCCTCCACTAGAAACAGGGAAGGCAAAATGGCCCATCCCACAGTCTGAATGGCTTTGAAACGGTAACCGTCATTTTTATGAATAGTTGCGGATACCTCAGACCCGTTCGGCTCATTCCCCATAAATGTAAATTATTACATATTAGCATATTACCCTCGCCCTTCGCAACTTGTGAACAAATCATGCAACATCGCCTGAGGGAAGGAAGAAGTGGGTTGGTTTCCCCCACCCTTTCTGTGAAGGAACACCAACGGATGACTTCGTCAATTAGCGGCCCCCGCCGTCCAAACTAAATAGATCCATCCGTCATCCTCCGTTTCCAGAATTGGCTCCACATGAAATCAGCATGCAAGGTTATATTTTGGAAACAAGGCATGTGTTGCAGCTTGAACCCTCAATTCCCGAAAAATAAAGGAGCAGGATGGGGAAGGGAGTCCACTGATGTGCCCTTCGTATCATTGCCCCCTAAAGCGAAGATCAGTCTCATCAGTTTACTGCGTAGTGCTCTTGGGTTTACTATATTTATCTCACCAGGATAGTTGGAAGCTGGACTTACAGCAAAGATGCGCGTTATAATAATGTTATTTCCGTACATGTGCGTGTCAATCAATTGACATCAACACTCGAATTCCGCTCTCAGAAAGTAAATCGATGCCAAGTTGATGGTCAGGCAGAGCTTGGTTACAGTTAGGTAGAAAGAAAAAGCAAATTCCCTGGATGCTTGTCCCACCTGAATCGTTTTAAAGTTCGTTGTGGCGCTTGGTTCCTGTTGATTCTTGAAGACTGAATAATAGTCAAAGAGGAAAATACAACTCCGGATACTCCGTATGTGTGGGTTTAAATGACATAAGTTAACCATATTCGGAATTACAGCATCTTGCTGCCAACAAATTGGGGATTAGGATATTCGCCAACTCAGTGTATCTTTGTGTACAGTACTTCCGTATGTTCATGCACATGCTGCCAGGTGACTGACCGCTGCATCATGAATACACGCTGTTCGTTTGCTCGTTCGCTGCTTTCCTTCGGATAATGGTGTGTTGGTTTCTGGTCATCGGGATGGGCCTCAATTAAAATTTCTTTATTCCTTTGCCATTTCGCTGAAGTACTTCCTGCGTACTCCGTAATGTCCGTCCGAGCTTGAAGCCAGGAAAAGTCACCAAAGTAACCATATCTCGTGTTCGGAACACGGAAATGTTCACGCCATACTCTCCCATCATGAAACGGACCCTGAACATAATCCTTCCAGACGAATGTAAAAAAACGAACATTAAAATAGCTGGCTGACCGCGCCTCGGCCACTTGGAGCGCCGAAGTTAATGCGTCATACGGCAAACTCCGTATGTTATTTTAACAGACAGGATTTTGGCGTCTAACTGGGGCCGAATACCCCATATTTCCACTGCTTTGAATGGCTCTCAGGCTGTGCAGCGTTGCATCATTGGTACTTCAACCCTGCGAGCAGCCCACTTGTCAGACTAAGTCGGAGACCGCGCCTGTACGTATGGATGTAATTTAAAATTAAATCAATCATAATTTTACCAACCTTGTTTTCTGTCCATTGTCCCACTTTTCAATCAATGGCCATGGGGGTTAGAACCCCTTTTTGCAAGGAACTGATGGAGCCTCAAGGAGTCAAGAGCCTTTTTTTTTTTTTTTTTTTTTTTTCCGCGGCCCGGATGCCTGCTCTCAGCTGCTCGATAATAGCTCTCTAATGAAGTATGCAAGTAAGACGTATTTTTTTTTTTTTTTCCCCCGTCGAATTTTGAGCTGACCCATGCTTCGCGTAGGGCGTTGTTGCGTATGGAGCTAGGATATAACGATAACGATTTAGAGTATGTATGTAGCGCGGACGTCATATGTGTTGTTGTTGCTGTTGCTATTTAAAGAAACCCC